CGATCTAATATTTTATTTCCTTTGCAAAGGTAGACAATAATGCCGAGATGATTTAGGAGTTGAAAAGGAAATAAGCAGTTTCGTATAAGTACCTCCTAGACAGGAGCATGGAAATAACGTTATTAAGGGAATGAGTTTTATATTTCCATTGAAAATGTCTGGAAAAATATATACTTAGTTATCCCGCATTATCCGCCTTTGTTGGCAACTAGTGGTAGTAGTGTTATTTATGTTGTATCTTTTCCACTACATATTCGCAAATCACACAATCTGTATAATACTGACATGCCATACGGTGCGTAATAAACACCGATCTATTTGTCGTATCAGGATTTTGAAATATAACCCTATAGTATCCATTCAAAAAGTAACAAAAGACTGTTCAGTCTTCTCCCCAATAATTTGTCGATGATACTTGAGTTAGGGGGTTGGGCTATAATTGAATCTAACTTTTACCAAACTTTTATAAAACATTTCCTCGCAATTTGTGGCGTTTCATAAGTTAAACTTCAATGTTAGTACAGTTACAATCGCAGTTCCATAACGCTAATTGGAAATTTATTACACTAATTTTGAGTACTGTAGCTCTTTTTGAACTCTTAAGTGTGTTTATTGATTGTTGGTTGAAATACTTTGTCATTTTTTGTGATTTCCTTAGATTAAAACCAGAAGAGGATATGCAATGTATAGTCTGAACGGTGTGGGATTTAATGCCCTCTCGCACTGAGTCGTTCATATGTACATACCAGGTACTTGTTTCACCCTATTGGGTTTTAACTACTGCTTTCGGCCTTACTCAGTTTAAACTTAAAAAAAGTCATGTCCGCATCCGCATTCAGGTCAAGGGTCTTCTTAGTCGCCGCGAAGCCAATCTGACTATTGTTTTAGCTAATCAACTAACAAAAGCATAGCACTATTTTAGCAAGTACAGAGTATTAGCAATTTTATTAAACATAAAGAAGAAGTTTTGCGCCTACCAGTATTAGAAGGCTATTTAAAGAAGGAAAACATTTTATAAGGAGAAAAATGCATACATTAAACTTAAGCGAAGGGAACGTTTAGCTTTAGGCTAATAGGTACGGTCTTTGACAAAAGTAATGATCGCGGAATAGGTAGATCCTGCAACATATGCAGCCAACGTTTGATTATATTGTGCAATTTGGAAATACGAACCAACAAGTTAAGGTATCTCCTTCATGAAAAAACCGGCGGAACCCAATCTAATAGGCATGTTGGTTGCTTAGGCTGCAGAGTTTACATATTAGGCGGTCATTACTTTTGTCAATGACCGTATATTGTATTGCCTCATTGGTGCCTTTTTCTTCCTACCGGTACGTTGCTTGTGGAACAACTGCACAACAAACCGTAACGAATCACACTGAGCCCAATACGCCTTTAATACTGCGCGATACCTCTTCCCGGGCTGGACTTTTCTCTTCCATTTTCCAGGTTATCATCAGACGCATATCACGATCGTCCGGAGCTGTGGTTCCCAGTCATCCACAAGTGCAGTGCATCGTACGAGTTGTTCGTCATATTTGTGCTCTAGTTGTGAGCAGTGTCGACAATCCTCAGGACGTGGTCTTCTGGATAAGGCATCGGCATTACGATGGTTTCGTCCCGCGCGGTGTTCTGCTACGAAATCGTACTCTTGCAGTCTTCCTAACCACCTGGCCACGTGGCTTCTCGACTTTTAAATTGTAACACCCATCTCAATGCGGCATAGTCTGTCCTTACGAGACTCTTCTGACCGTGCAGATACTTGAAATGCTTGATTGACTTGATGACGACTCGCAGCTCTCTTCGGGTAACATAGTAACTACGTTCCGGTTTAGAGAAGACTTTACTGAAATATCCCATGACTCTCTCGTGCCCGTCCTGCATTTGGGATGGTACAGCACCCATTCCAACATTGTTAGCGTCCGTATCTAACACGAAGTCCTCCTCTCTTCTTTGATAGCTGAGCACCGCAGCCGTAACTGGTTGAGATCTTGAAAAGCCCGCTTGCATTCATAATCCCAATTTGAAATCTTTAAATCTTTACAAATCGCCGGTAGTACATGCGTAGACCCAAGAAACTTGTATTGCATGTTTATCTTTCGGCTTGGACCATTCTTGTACTGCACGAACTTTGTTGCACTTCTTTGTATTCGGTTGAAGCACAGCGCAACCTCATAAACAAGTCTTCGATATTCTTAAGGTGGTCTTCAAACGTTTGGATAATCACAATTACGTCGTCCAAATACACAAGGCACGTTTTCCAAGGTAAACCTCTCAAGACCAGTTCCATTAATTTCTAAAACACGTCGCGGGAGCGTTACACAAACCAAAAGGCATGTATGGATGTTGCTTAATAGTTTGGGCATCTGTCGTATTTATTTTGAGTGACCATATTGCTTAACCGACAAGTCATTTCTCTGAAGCAAACACGTCTTGGTAGCGCCGTCGCGGAAAATTAACCTTTTAGCTTGTTGTCAAATTCTTCCATAAGGCTGTGATCATAGCTTTTCGGGTCATTTTGGGCACTTCAAAGTGTCATCACTCTTGACTGTAATTACACAACCCACGACTACAGCTGCTGGGGTACACGTCCCAATCAGTACCTTTCCTTAACTTGGTCGGCAGTGAGTTCAAATTCATTAGCGGAACAGGCGTTAGTTGTTTGGCATTTATTGCCAATAAAAATCGCTCGATCCATATTGGTATAATTAGGTTCCATCACTCCCAAAAAGTTTTCCGAGAGACTTCCATTCATGTGAACCATCACAACTTTCTCGCAACACTCCGGCAGAGTGGCATCATCCACAAGCATTACGCGTGGCAGCTC